GTTTTAAATAGAGAGCATGTTAAACTTGTCTAATTGTGAAATCAGCCATCGTTCCACTTCCAGAAACCTTCTTGACATTGACCCAATCTACTCTGTAACCAAGTGGCATGATTAAAGGTCTATCATAACTTTCTATATTATTTACCTATTTTTTATTATTATACACTGAGATTTGAACTGAAGCCAAATATTAAGAGAAGATAGGATAGATAATCTTTGACGTAAGTGAAAAATAGCGACAAAATATAGAATGAAGTACAAAATTTCCAATGAAGCATTCCAGTCTTCCACAATGCCCACTGGGTTAAATCTTCATTGGAAGAAATTATTAGGTAGAATATTATCAACACTTTGCAAGAGAGAGGGCCAGGGGTCTTTACCAGTGAGAAGAAACTGGAGGATGCGGTGAAAACCCACAAGGTTAGGCAGCGATCCTACTCCTTGTCATGTATCAGTCTGGGATCATTTCCATGCAACTTGAATAAATGACAGTTCTTATGATCTAAAGTGCAAACATTAAGCCACTCAACAACCACCCTAGTGAGAATACAGGAGACCAATATCGTCATGAAATCAGACTTTTAAACATCATGAAAGCACGGACTTGATTATGAAAGCGGACTTAACATCAAGCAAATGTTACACTTCAAGAAAAGCATGTACAAAATGATCAAATACAGATAATTAGCAGTTAATGCCCTTGATGGAGCGAGAACTGTTTACTACATTTCATGCTACCACAATTGGTACAATTCATGTGTATTATGTGTACAATACACCACATTTTATAAATGATGGTCAATAGATGAGATAACACCTTTGATTACATTTAGCTACAACTTACTTGGTGGGGTTGAATAACCACTCTAACCTGGGGAGATATCTTTTATTTGATTACATGGTGGTGCTATAACTTACATTGTTTCTGGGGTTGAACGACCACTTCTACCTGGGGCGATATTCTTTATTTGATTACATGGTAGTGCTACAACTTACTTTGTTCGTGGGTTTGAACGACCACTCTTACCTAGGGTGATATTTTTTTATTCAATATATTATTTTTAAACTAATAAAGCTTGTGGTGTCCTCATTTCTTAAGAAATAGTTCTTTTATAGCCGTCAAACTTTTCTTTTTATAGAATCATACAAGACCAATCAATGGTTAATTTGTTATGGATTTAGTTATTGTTTTTATTAGCTATTTCATCTATTTTTTTATATTGTGTATATAAGCATTAAGAGGTATTTCTGTCTAATCATTTGGGAATATAAGTTTTTACTACCGACTACTTTTTCTTTTGCGCCACTGGTCCCAGCTTTATATAACAAAGTCAAAATATATTCTTCTTCCATTGTTTTTGAGCTATAAATATTCTGTTTTCTATGGCAGGAAATCTAAAGGGAATATTTTCTCCATACAGTTATCTTTAGAGCAATGTCATAGACGTCAAACTATTCTATCCCATCTATATTCATATTAATCCCATCAAACTAAAACAAAGTGTTAACACAAGTTTCACTATTTCTTTTAGTTCTGGATTTTGCTATTTTCATTTTCCTTTGGGATATCTTCCTTGAAAGGTAAAAGGTTATTTTAATTGCAAGAACTTCCTTGTATGACAAAAAGGCAATTTTTCAATATGGACATCAAGAACTTCTTTGTATGTCAAAAAGGCAACTTTTCAATATGGCGTCTTCCTTATATGGTAAAAAGTAATTTTCGATTCTTGTATGGTAAAAATTAACTACAGACAATTTGAATATCCAGTTATGTACATCAGTTGAACATTTATTATTAGTTATTGCTAAGATTTTTGACAATATGGTCATCATGAAAATAACAGGACCATTATTCCTAGATATTCAGATATAGGAATAGATTCAAATACAGCAATACAAAAATCGAAAGTCATTCAACTATTTAAAATCTGGATTTTTATTTGAAAAAATAAAATAAATATGCATCTAGAACTACAAACCATTTTATTACCAACCATAACAAGCCAAATTAATCAATACCATGCACAAACTTCCTTAAAATTATGATAAGCAAATTAGATTTTACCGTCTATGATCCCAGAACTCTATACACAAAGAAATGATAATTGAAACAAGCTGGCTGTAAAAATTGATGTTGTGGGAAAACTATCCCCAAATTAACAATTCCACAATCCCATGAACATCTTAATGTCTGCTGCATAATAAGAGCTGATTGAATAATGAAATGATTCTCATGGGATGAATATATCTACTCTGGGCTCATCTTTATCTTCCATGGTTTCCATAGTTCACTAATGAAATCATTAAACTGGCTTGTCTCTGTTGTCTTAAATGTATATCCATACTGTAGTATTTAGGTCATTTCAAGATTAACAAGGGTTTATTTAAGAAATTGGGATTTCATACTTTCATGGTCTCAATGAAATAGACAAATTTTAGTAATGACATAGCAGCATAAACAGAAACTGAGATTTCATACTTTCATGGTCTCAATGAAATAATCAAATTCAACAGACTGTTTAAACTCTAGTATAAACTCTAGTTTCAAGTTGATTTTGAGAATAAAACTTGAGTATTGTTTTATGAAATACGAACGCACTTTTCATGTTTCCAGCCAAGGATCCTATCTTTGCATCTAGATGCTGTCAAATTCAGCTGTGATTTGAATAGATCAATCAGCTCGACTTAAGGGAAATATCAGATCCACAAGTTCAATTTCAGACTAGAAAAACAGTTTTTGTGAAAGGTGAATATGTATCTATGTCTACCCTATCTCTGACCATCTTCCTTCCACAGTCACTAATACTGAAAACATCAACCATGTTTTTTGAATAAGTTTCAGGAACTAGATTATGGTCAGTTGAATTTAGTAAATATCAGAAAATAATATAAACCAAAAGAATAGAAATCCAGGCCAGTCTTGTTTCTGTTTCTTCGGAACCAGAAAAAATATCCTACTTGGCTTGTGTATTTGGATTTGCTCTGAGCATTTGTATTTGCCATGTGCCTTTGGAGTTGCCATTGGATTTGAGCTGTGTATTTGGGTTTGCCATGTGTATTTGGATTTGAGTTGTGTATTTGGGTTTGCTATGTGTATTTGGATTTGCCTTGTACATTTGGGTTTGCCATGTGTATTTGGATTTGCTCTGTGTATTTGAATTTGTGCTGTGTATTTGGATTTGCTCTGTGTATTTGAATTTGCGCTGTGTATTTGGATTTGCCACTGTATTTGAATTTGTGCTGTGTATTTGTACAGAAATAGAAAAAGTTTGTGTGTGTAGGAGATGTGGATGATCACTGTTTATCAACCACTTCAATCATAGCAATGTTGTATTTTATAAGAGAATTACGTCATATATAATCTGTACAGATACAACAAATATAAAGCTAATAAAATGAAATAAGAGGGTCTGCCAAATGGCACCATTAAATATTATATATACCCTGTTAAAACACATACCATTATACTATTTCGTACATTATCAAATAAAATTCAGATAGTTGAAAAGGAAATCAAAACTTGAAGAAGGGTGTTTCAAGAATTGCTAGCATGTTTCATGAAGAGCTTATTAGATAATGATAACAGAAAAATAGAATGACAAATAAATGGAAATGTATCAAATGGGTACATGCAGTATTTCAAGTCGACATTTTGGCATAATTTCAAAATCCAAATTGTAATCACAAAAATTAATATGTCTGTACCGGTACACAAAAACATGCCAACAATCGGAATGTATGTAATGTATTATGTCTAAGAAGATAAAATTGTCTACATGTCTTTTTATTTCAACTTTTTTTTATGAATCTGTTACTAGTGTACAAGAGAATATACATGTACATGTAGATCTAAAATAGATATTGTCAATAAATATACAAAAGATGCTATATATGACTTCGTGCTTTTTTCCCTTGCATTATAAAGAGTTACATAAAAAGCTGGCTGTTCTTGCTAGTTGCTATATATGATTTCGTTTTTTTTTTCCCTTGCAATATGTAAGAGTAACTTAAAAAGCTGGCCGTTATTGCGACAATACATGTAGTTCAAAAACAGAGAATGAAAAATGAACATATTAAAAATTTCAGTCAACAACTGCCTTATTTCGTTCGAAGTTATGATGTTTAAGTTTTAACAAGAAGTAGCATAAATTATCTATTTTATGACTAACTCTTAAATGACAAGGGTGTTCTAATCTACTTAAAATCTGAGCCATCCAAGGTCCAGAGAGTTGATTATGGGGTTGTGTTAATGTTTGAATAATAATTTATATAACATTTGAAACTAGAAAAAAGACCTGCAATTTATCTTACATAATGTGTCTTTACTTAAGTTCTTATCATCAGTTATGTATTTGGTTATGTAATTTAATATTTATATGAGTTATAAGGTATTAGCAAATTTTTGGCTGGTCAGTAAAAAAAATTGTTTTAACGAGAAAGGAACAGGGAAGATGTAATTAGATTGTATGCCAATTCATTGCCAAGTATAAACATGGTTTCGAATATTGTTGTTTTTAAGTAGGCTAGTTCTCTAGTCTTCAGTTATTATGAATGACTACGATAACCAAAATCAATTACATTTATTCTTTTGTTAAAGTGTTCAGTCTACTGTTAATGTATTCAGTCCCGGTTCTTACATCTTTACGATATTAAGTGTGAAAAATACATTTTTTACCCTCAATGTTTATGGAGCCATTAGTCTATCACTCTACATGTACATAAAGACTGATATGAACGACCAGCTAATAGCCTTCAAGATTCTATGAATCTGCATGCTCCTCACTAGACACATGTATCAAAATTGTAATAAAAGGAGAAAGGTGTTTGCAGTACTTTTCGCACTTAAAATTGGCACGTAAAGAGCACAGATTAAAGATATTACAATATCTTACATATTCTTAGTATGCAAGGGAATATCTAATATGGTCTATTATGGTGGGTGGGGGAGTTTGTTATTTAACATAATGTAGAAAATATATAAAATGATTAAATTAACTTACAACTCTTGCCACAAACAATGTCTTAAATGCATCTGTGAATCCAGCATGCTGGCCTGTAGGATCCCCTGGAAAAAAAAAGAGAAGAGAAATAGTAATTAACAATAACATACACTAAAGAAAGATCCTTGGTTTTTAAACTTTTCAGAGTTACTCCCCTTTTACTACAGTTAATGAGAAAAGACAAACAAAAATAATAATTATGGCAACCTGATCCATTAATACAACATATTATCCTTATTTATTTTTTGGTATCATATGATGAATGCAAGGCTTTTTATTACAAAGCTATAAACATGACGAAGTGATCCAAAAGCAATCGCCCATGCACCCTAGAATCTACAGTTTTTATTGTCTTGTGTCCATTTACAATAGATATCATAAAAATCTGTAAAATTTGTAGGGATGTTCTTCCCGCACAGTAGTGGTAGTTTATTATCGTTTTATTTCTGCTTGTCGAGTGGAAGACCTTCAATCAGAAGAGAAAGTGGACAGGGCAAATCTGTCGTCTACTTCTTGGAAGCTCTTCTAATAATGAGTGAAATAAGAACAAGCTAAGTAGTAGGGATCAAGGGATCTTGTCGTATTGCGAGTCTTCTCGCAAGTAGAAAGTTAGCGAAGATTGTATTTTGGTGTGGCAGTGGAAGAGCAGCTTAAGTCCTTCCCTCCATGTATAATTATATCTAATGTATTATAAGTCTGTTAGCGTATCTGCTTTGTTTTATAGTTGAAGTTTGCAGAATTGAGTCAATTTAGTTGATTCAACAAAGATGTAATATTCTATTATAGTGATGTATAAATCCAATGCATTATTATAATTCAATAATTCATTAATCATTCATGCATTTCATGACCTGCATTATAATACACAGGGATAGCACTATAACCATGTCCTAGATTTAAAAGCAGTATCTAGTGTATATACTGTATGGGTATATTACATTATATCCATCGACTCGCACATTTTAATATGACCATGCAAAAAGGAAGGGGCTGTCACTTCAAATAAAGTTTGCTCAACTTTCATAACATTATATTATTTTGGTAATGTCAAGGACAAAAATAAATGGGTGGGGATGCAAATAAAGCCATATTTGCTTAGTGTTCCTTTTTTGAAATAACAATCCCGTTCGGGACTGTGCCTAGTAGCATATTCCAGCAGCTTGGTAATTTACGCAGTCTTTGATATGCTAGAAATTGTATTTCGAAACCTTGCATCCAATACCACAATGTTCCAACACTCCTCGATTTCCCCTAATGTGAGCTTATTTTATAAATATTTCACATACTGGATAATACAATCTTTAGCCTTGATCTAAATCAATGACATAAATTAGAAGAACCTTGGGCAAGTATTAAGCAATACTGAATAAAGCTTAGAGGATAAGTAGAGTAAACAGTCATGTATTACAGCCATAAATACAGCTACAGGATTGACTTGAATACAAGCCCTAATAATCTGTCTTACGAGATAATCAGCCATGCCTGTGGGAGACCTGTAATTATTTTGTACGCAATACAGTTAACATGTAGAGATGAGGTTGTTTCGTTTCTAATGTTTAAGTCATGAACGTAGGGAATATTATTAGGGAAAATTATTATCAGCTCATGAATATGTAAACTGAGAGATGTACAAGCGTACTTTTAACAAGATAACTGCACTTAACTTATACAGGCATTAAGCAAGAGATACATCTGCCTATTGCAGGTCTTTCTTTGAACCTTAAATGTTATATAAATTAATTTTCTTGCTCGTAAGGTTCTTTAATTGAGGGAGGAAACCGGAAGACCGGGAGCACAAGGTCTGAAAGGCGACCAGACTCTTAAAATCGAAACAACGCCACTTGACTGAATGAAGACCATATGAGCTAACCACGCACATGTTAAACCATTGGGCCACTCAACGCCCAATCCATATAGAGATTGTTGGTGTTACTAAAGTAACGTTATATGATAGTCGAATAGTCAATAGTAATGAATCTGACATCTATTTATTTTCCCACTTAAACAATGAATAATTGACGAGTTGATTGGTTAGTATTTTGTTTAATCAAACTAGAAAACCAATAGTCAAGTACATGTTACTAAGACTATAAAAACAAATAAGGACCTGTAGTTGTTTAAATTTTTTATCACGATTCTATCCTACTTTGATTCTATCCTATTTTAATACTTATAATACATTTGTTTTTTTCACAAAACAAATAAGGACCTGTAGTTGTTAAATTTTTATCACAATTCTATCCTATTTTAATACTTATAATACATTGGGTTTTTTCACAAAACAAATAAGGACCTGTAGTTGTTGAATTTTTATCACAATTCTATCCTATTTTAATACTTATATTACGTTTGGGGTTTATTCACGAATTGTATAAACACCACCAAGGCCACACCAATTTGATTTTCTGTTCTTGGGGAACACCTGTGTAAAATTCTAACCTACTTTAATACTTTTGTTGTTTTTTTTCACAAATTGCATAAAAACATCCAAGGCCACACCTGTTTAAAAACTATTCTTATTCATTCAAAGATAATTCATTTAAAAAACGATAGTACATGGTTGTGCAGTCCCAAAGCTTTTAGTGCCAAGTTTTTTAAATTTTAATCAAAATATCTTTCACGATTTAATTGGCAATTTATTTATCAACACCCTGAGCAACAGAAAATCAGATTGGTGTAGCCTAACAGATGGTCATGTTTATTTTTGATACAATTTTTATTAGTCGGTTTTTAATTTTAAATATTTATCTATTCCCAGGCTTTCAGGTTTCAAATGACTATATATTAAATAATACTTTAATAAGTATTTTCGTGGTAAGATCAATTCATTCATATATAAATATTACATTCATCCTGAGCTAATAAATATTATATAAGTTGGGATCTATACCCGAGAACAATGATCTAGTATTAACTATCAACGGTCTTATTATTCAAACTTTTAGACTACAAGTAATTTCATTCTGCGACACCTTTTAGAATATTCATAGCGGTCACTAAAGGTTAAAAATTGGGGTTGAAGGTTGCCTTGACAATATAATGACGTCAATACCTTGTTTTTAACAAGCAATTTTTGTCTTGTGCAATTTTCTAAGAGCGAAAGCATTCAAAAGGGCATGTTAATGATAATATATACATTAGGAGAGTAAAAAAAAAAAAAAACCCACCTACACAATCACTTACACTCATATAATTAGATTTTTCTGCTCAAGCGCAGTTTTTAGTTTCTATAATGTGGTAAATGCTTGTCAATTGTCATATTCTCGAAAGATTAATTTATTTTGTTCTGTGGAAAGTCAAACAGATCGTCAGGCAAATTCTTGATGCAATGTATTCATTTAATTAATCTATATGATTACTTATAGGGCTACTTCAATTTCAATTGATCGTCTTTGACTGTTTGATTTTTTTTAAGAACTTGAATCTAAAAATTTACTTTTTTCCAAATTCTGTAAAATGTTCAGAAAATCAATAAAACTATTTTGAATAATTTACAAGATTTAAACAGTAATACTTGCCAAAGGACTTCATTTTAGTCACATTAAATAAAAGCAAAAATGAGAATTCACATTTAAAATTTTATTCAAGCTCATATACATTCCTGGTATCAAAAGAATGGGGTGTTTAATAACCAACATAATATACGAGAGAGAAATCGGGTACAACGTCCACTCATGCAAATTAGGTCATTTTGGGACTAACACATGGTTCAATTTTATTTATGCGCAGAGGTCTTTAGCAGTGGGCGGAAAGCAGAGCACTTAGAGAAAACCCCCAAAAGTGGAAGACCCATAGAAAACCCGTGCGGTTTGACAGGTGACCCTAATCTGTGACACGTACAACCTCAGTATCGAAACCATGCTTTTTAGACTCAATGACAGTCCTTATGATCAAAAGCACATGGTTTAAATCATTCTGTCAATCAAGACCCCCTTAATACACAGTGGTCGTACTCTAGCTAAATGCTCAATTTAGCTTGAATATTATTCTCACGCTATGAGTATGAATGACACATTTTCAATTGCTATATAAATAATGATCATCTGAATTTCAAGCCGCGGGAAATTTTTTAATGTTATGTGAAATTAAAATGTACAATGAAAAGTTGATAACCTAGACAGAATATATTCTTCCATATTTGTCAGTTTATGATAAACGAAAGTTTAATAAACTCATAAATTAAACAATAAAAATAATCAATACTAGACATTATCAACAACAAAGTTACAATTAAATACTGGTTTCAAATTCATATTACGTAGAATAAATCGCTCTACAATATGTTGTTTTACGCCAAATTAAATATTCAGTTATAAATGCAAATTTTAAAACCGAAAATTTCAAATTTATTAAGTCAAATGTTTAAATGTACATATATCAAACTTGCTTTGTAATCTTTCAAGGAATTAAAATCAAATTATACATTCATGTTAGCGCCAAATTAGAAATAATTACATGGACATTATACGATATTCATTATCTTCTTAGTCAAATGACATTTTAAAAGAAAAGCCATTCTGAATGGTGCATTTAAAGAAATCTTTTACTTAATCTTTCGAAATATATTTTTTTTTTTAACATGCACATACTACCGTATCTGCAAAACTTCTTGCACATTAGACATGGCTCAACTTGTGGCTCTATGAATAATTTATCTTTCGGCCATCGTGGATTCGTGGTAATCAATATACCTTCTGGTCTAAGATTGTCTCTTGTATTCGAGACTTAACGAGTTTCAACGAATGATGAAGACATCAATGTGAAAAACCCTCGAGACCTCCCATACTATTCCTTACCGTTCTAACAGCTCGTCAAATGGTTAATATACACAGCTTTTCATTAATGTTGTTACTCTTTTAATTCATAAACCAGGAGATGAATTTCATCATCCACTCCACTACCAGAATTAATATAGGCAATGGCCATCTGTGTATTAGGGGACCTGTTACCAATATGCATTTTAAATACTTACATAAAGCTAGATCTTGTTCTAATTTATAAGCATGGGCTTCAGCTCTCTCCTTTCTCTGAAATAAACATTATTCAATTTATTACATACTTGTTATGTTCAAATGAATTTAAATGCTTAGTCAATGATATTTTCAACAATCAAAGTTACAGGAAACCTGTTTAACACATCAGATACTGTACTAATATCCAAACCAAATTCATAAACAGCCACTGGAGTCTGGCAAAATTATATTTTTTGAAAAATTTCAAAACCTTAAAATTTGGAACTAAAGAGCATTTGCACATTATTTTTTTTCCCCCAATAAAATCTGTAAAAAAAAATTTACCGCCATAGTATTTTTTTTTTTTTATCAAAAACCTAAAGTTCAAAATAGTGTGGACTAAAGGTGTTGCAGAGTCTCGGACAAGAAAAGTTTCATGGCAATGTGAATTTTAGAATTGGTACTTTCAACTGAAATCGATACAAACAAATTGTTTGTACCTGTTGACTTAAAATGAATGAACAACCTACATTACATGCCTGACGACAGCCACGTTATTCTCTAAAAATAATATGCAGACATAACGCCATGCAATAGAGATATTGTGCACCTTTACCCAGGAGACCTCAATCTCATTTCAAGGATGAATATAATGCATTTCAATATATCATTAGTAGTGGTATATATATCTTCATAAAAATACGAAGCTATATAAAGCCAATAAATAAAACTAGACATGTAAGAAGGTAATAAAATATTTTTTCAATATTCTAAATTAATGTACCCTATTTCATGCTTTCAAGGCAATGTTCTGGAAAACAACTGATCCAGAACGATAACAATACAATATATTATTTGTGTATATTGATATCGACTTTATACGATCAATATTCCTTCAATATAAACAATAATAAAACTTGTCTAAACATATCCCAACACAATAGCCTTATATACTCATCTTTATATACACAATACTATTGTACAACAGACAATATTTTCTTTATATATTTAGCTTAAATTCATGCACTTCCAACTCAATCATAAAACTGCGCATTAGAAAATATATTTGATGAATCAAGGATTGTCTTTTTATGTTTTAAAATTTTGCACTATTTTTCTATTATAGACCCTATTAAATAATTCAGCTTGCACCTCTTTATAAATTCGAGATCTATTACTATAGCTTCATGAAAAGTGAAAACAGAACAATGACTACTGCCAGTGTAATTTAGAGTATGGTATATACATGATAATTTCTTTTCTTATACTCGTCTTGATTAGCCCAGTCAGAGCAGATTTCCAACTCTCAAGGGATCTTTTACATGCACACTAATGGCTACACAAGACCTCAGTTTTCCGTTGTCCCTTCACCCCACACTGACAAACGGGAACCCCGGCGGGAAAACCCTGATTAACTTTCTCGCCCAGCACCGGGATCAAAAACAGGACCTCCAGGTTAGCGAGCCAACGTCCTACTCACTGAGCCACGTTTTATTTGGAGAAGAATATGATTGGCAAAGTGAAAATAAAACAAAAAAACAATTTTTTAATTCAGACAAATTGCCGGAAAAGATATCTTAAGATATTTTTCATGTTTCTTCAAATCAATACCAATAAATTATTGATTTTATAAATGGAACGTAGCTTATCGACATAAGATTGTGTTTTATCTAATCAAACAAAGATTTGTTTTGTAAAACTGGGGAATCTGTCTCACAAAATGCAATTTGATACTGATTAAATAGAGCCCTGGCCTTGGGCAACAATGGCCAACCCAACACCATTCTCAAACGATATAATAAAAATCAAATAAATATACTTCACCTTTCGTTCTTTCCGTTCGTCCCTGGTTTCAACCCGTGTAGGTGGTGGGGTGTCTTTAGGGTCCTGTAAGAAACAAACAACTAATCAGAAACTCTCAAAACCAAGACATCACAATTAGGTACTTCACGTCAAAATATGGAAATCCATTCTCCTGGCAGTAAACAGTTACCATGGAATTAGTATTTTTCTGGCTATTATTTCTGCATCTTAACCAGGTTTAATGCTCTGATATGCCATGTTCAACAGATATTTGGCATACACAAACAACAATTACTGGTAGATAAACATTATACAATTATAGTAACTCCAAACCATGAAACATTCATATCAACAGTGAGTTGTAAAATGTCTTAGTCTTAACTATTCAATAACATTCTCGCTTTCTTGGAAACTATTTTTTGTTGTTGGATTCCAGCAACCCTAGAGAAGAGCCAGCTCTTTCTTGGAAACTATTTTTTGTTGTTGGATCCCAGCAACCCCCATAGAAGAGCCAGCACAATAACCAAGCCTGGTTTGCCCATTGTCAGTTGTATAGATGTAGAGCCTTGCGGAAACTCCACTGTCCCAGTAAAATTTCACTCCCAGCACACTGTATGGTGTATGCCCATCTTCACTGAACCCATTGATTCAGAAAAATAGGACTTTAAACACTATTTTTATTTCATTTCATTAATCTCCATGGAAATACCCATAGGAATTGAATGGAAAGGTACAGAATTGTCAGTGGATTTTCCCATAGGGTGGTGACGGACACTACCATTTAAAACCAGGTGTATGATTGAGTTTAAGTCAGGAATATTAGCAATATCTGGAAGATTGTCAATAATAATAATATGATGTTGATAAGAGACAAGTAGAAACTGTTTTGGCATAATGTCATACCAGTACAGATGGTAATAATTAAGCTCTCTGTATGATGATGATAATATCCCCAAAGCCTGGAAATGACTTGTACTATCTCACTGTCACATATTAAACATACATACCCACCAAACATTTTACTTATAACTACCATCTAAATATAGAGTCACGCCATAGCCTCCATACAACAAGTCTTCCCTTCATCTCATTCGACTTGTTTTACAAGAATTTTTGTCATCCTTTCGTTGATGTATTGTTTGAATTATGCATTGTAGAGGGCAGGCTCTGCTGCCGGAAGTCAATGTTTTTGAGGAGGTAATACTTTTGTAATATTTCAGATTAGACGCTATTTTTTTATGACACAGAATATGTTTTGAGATGAGACGTCGGTCTAATTGAGTGTTAAAATTGTCTTCTCGTCACTGACATATATAACACCATTCCAACATAACTTTCCTTAATATATGCATAATACATTACTTTTGTTGGCACAATAAATGGAGGTTTCAAGAAGGGGTGGGGGTTGGCACAATAAATGGAGGTTTCAAGAAGGGGTGAGGGGGTGCAGAAGATTCTTGTTGTTTTTTGTGGTTTTTTTGCAGAACATGTATCAGGTTTCTGATCTACTCTGGAAGATGGTTTTGACAAGGACGATGGACCTCAACAAAAAATATTGTGATTTTGTCTCACATCAGCTTTCCGTAAACTTAGTTCCATGATCTGTATTTATTGTTCTTTATTTCAGCCTAAAGATTCCGACGCTATTACGTCCAAAAGGCATGACCGGATTCAAGCTGCTAAAAGGATACGCAGAAGCAAATCAACTCAGAGTCAACACTCCTACTCTTTGGATTCCAGAGCAGAGGAGGAAATAACAAAAACATCCTGTCTTCCGAACTGCTTACGACAGTCAATGCGATCAGATCGAGATCAACTGTATCGATCGCGAGACGTGTCAAGTTCTGATCTAGGGTCACCAGAATCGAATAACCCCTTATCAGACACTGCAGGGTATAATTCTACAGACAGAGCAAGGTCCCGTTCTTGGTCTTCTAACAACAAAAGTTTCCCAGAGGAGAATTCAGAACTGCCTGATGATCAACTTGCTCCTTTACTAGGAAATCGTGACTTCCCCAACAGGTATTAATCATATTTTTAAAATTTGGTAAAGAAAAAACGTTAAACTATTGATATTAAAAATCTGAACTTGTTCTTACAATAGACAATTTTCAAACGTTTGGTCTTAAATATTTATTCAAATAGATTTAAACAATTATATACTGGTGTACAGTATTTTTGTAGAAAGTATAAAAATTTGGTAATGTAATTAAATTGAAATTTTAGTCAATCAGAATTCAAAATTTGAAAACAAATGTCGGCTTTGCTATGCCAGGAATAAATTTTATTATTGTGTGCTTTTTTGTTGTTCACATCCATTTTTCATGTTGCCTCTTTGTTTTGCACATTAAACTCACATTCCACTGTAATGACCTCCCACTTTCCCTCTGATTAACAAATGAACTCCTACATGTAGTTATTATTGAATATCCTTGCCTTGTTGCACGTACATGTACCGGTATGCTGAAATGTGTATAATGGCCAGGAACCAGATTTAACAATAGCATAATGCTTTGGTTATTTTGAGGCATGAAGTTTTTATCATATAAAATTTAAAGTTTGAAAACAATAAAAGTCTTTAAATCTACAAAATATGAAGTTTTGACAAAATTTCACCTTCCCTCTAACAACCAGTCATTGAGATAAAGGCTACCTATCTGCGTCATGCACAAAAGTGTTCTACACTGCAATCGCATGGATATTCAACAATAACAACCAGCATGCCCTAGCTTTCAATGGATGGTATTTTTGTCTTTTAAACACCTTTTTATTTTTTTAATCACAAACCACCAGGCATTATCTGAGTATACAAAGGTAAGGATGTGTAGAATCAGTTTGGTTCTGTGTAGAGAATTATAGAATAATAGAGGGTAAATTCACTTTAAAACAATAACTATTCTCAATATTAAAGAGTCTTTCGAGAAAATTCCTCATTAAAATCAACCTTGATCAATAAATCAGAGCTGAACATTTTGAATGTTTAAAACAAAAATATTTTAGCAATTGGAATTTTGGTAATGCCTTCATCAAATTGAATCCCAATCCCTTTATAATAATTGAGCATTGCTACCTATCAGAGCACAAAACTTTTGTTAAATAACATGACAACAGAATTGTTTTGAAAACAATTTTCTCTCCCTTTAAACAAAAAACACAAAAGCCTGCTGTAAACAAGTGTCTGTTTCTAATCAAGTTTCTAAGTCTAGCTTATGCTAACGAGTTTACATGAATATCATCAGACCAGAGTATTCAATAGTACAAATTCAGTGGAGTAAATATCCAGACGACGTAGACCATCAATCAGATTCGATGTTTGTAGTAAAGTGAATTTACCTAGTATACCAATTAATCTAGGTGAATAGGCTAGACAAACAGGTTGCTGAATATAACTAATATCAAAATCAAGACAGGCAAGTGCTATAACATTATTTTCTTTGATTTGTCTAAATTAAGAAACAAGTTATTATTTTATCAACATTTATCAATGTGCACAAACTGAAATCTAACAAATGTATCTGAAAATAATGAAACTCAAAATAAGTTTAAATTGAATATTTTTGTAGGTTCATTTTTCTATTTATTCAATGTGTAGGTCTAGGGCTTTGATGTAGTTCATTATAAAATCAAAAAAAAAAACCATTCTGCATGCTAAAAGATATTTTCAAATAAAAGAACAAAACAATATAACTTAATTAGTAACTATATAAGTTCTATATGCCTAGTTTCTATAATTTCTATACTGAACACTCAAGGATATTAAAACAGGTTCAATTAAATTCATAAAAAAAATGATTCAATCTTTTGATTTATAAATTGATTGATCTAAACCTAATTTTATCTTCGTGTAAATAATCTCATGTTTAGATTTCAGTTGGTTTCAATTGTGACCTATACAATACTGTATGTCTATATGCCTAGTTTCTATAATTTCTATACTGAAAACTCAAGGATATTAAAATGGGTTCAAACAAATTCATAAACAAAACAAATGATTTGATCTTTTGACTTATTGATTGATCTAACTCTAATTTTATCTTCCTGTATGTACATAATCAATAATCCCATGTTTAGATTTCAGTTGGCTTCAATTGTGACCTATAAAATATTTCTACATCAAACTGAAATATAAGCCAGTGATGATGTAAGCGAGACTCGTTGATTTTTTTTTCTCGCTATAATAAATCAAATTTTTCGGAATATTTGACTGTGTAAATGTACTTCATTTGGCATTTAATCAATAAACATGAATCTATTCCCCTTTGCACAATGGAAAAATAATAAGATGATAATAGTCTAGAATAATTTGATTAATAATCTGATCAGTTTAGACAAAATAATATCAGCTCCTCTTAACACTGATCAGTGAAACAAACATTACCAGAGACTGTTACTATTGAAATGTACTGTAATTGTGGTTCAACCTTATTTAATGTTATTAATTCCGTTCATGTATATCTATTAAGATAATCTTATTAACTGGAGATAATCCAAACAAACATTTGATCAAAATCAATTTGTAGTTAACAGGAACAAAGAAAGTAGAAGTGATTTGGATAAAATACCTATGGAATTAATGGTACTTATCAAAGGTGTTAACTCAATATGTATTGGTGATAAACAGATTTGCAATAAACAGATTACTATCGTTATAACTTTTATGGCAAGTTTTAAAAAAAGATAATAAAAAAAACAAGTAGTAACATGTTCATCTATTAATACATGCTAAAAATATCTTTAAAACAAGACTAGAAAATATCTTTTTTTATCTTGGGAGTAGCCTAAGAAGTTATCATTTGAGTTGAATAGCTTAAAGTAGGGTAATGCTGTCTTTTGAGGATATATTTCCTCTTTAAATAGTCTGGTATTAGTAATTAAAATACAAAAGAAAAAAACAAATGGAAAATGTTTCTTGCTTATTAACTGTCCACATGCAAATAATTAGTACATGTTTTTTTAAACTGTATTGTGTAATTTATACATGCAGTTTGAGTTAGACCTATTATAAGTCCACAACAGCTGCCTGTCAACTTAGCTGCTCTAGTTCTTAAAAAAATCTTTATAAATGACATTTAAATAATATAATTCAGTTAACATTAGCACAATAGCTATAATAATGTACTGATAACGTTTAGAGCGAGCGCTTGACACTGTCAGCAGAAGGACGATTTTACAGTCGTAAGATCAATTATTACTTCAGTTCAGTGCCATTCTTTCACTGCTGGAATTCAATTAAATTATGTGAGGCAAACGGCGGAGAGACTGTGAATTATTCATGTTAGAATACAATATTCCAGTCTTTCATCGGCACATGTGCTATGATCATTGAGGCTGTGCCTGTGTTGTCATTCTAGCCACAACATCATCAGCAACAGGATTAAATATAGACATCAATTTCAACAAGAACAGTCAGTGATTCCATGAATTTTACTAAAGACCTGCAAGTCAAATGTTAGTTTTAGCTATTTAATAGTGTGTTGAAGAATCAAACTCTTCCTTATTAGGCTAACGGGATTATTCGTGCAAGGTTGCCATCGATTTTTTAGCAGGCCGCCTATAGCGAGTTATGCTGAAGCCGTAAATCGACAAACTCCTGAACATGGCGACTCTGGTGTCCGCCATCTTGGAACAATTGTGAGTTTGTTAAGCGTTGTCAAAATGTATGTTCACGACTTTGTTTGCACTTTATCTTACTAGCACCGGCACTTTTATGCATGATACTTTACCTCAAATTCATTAATTAAACTTGCTATGCCCCCGTACGGCACTCTTTTCTTCTCGAAGCCCAATTTATCAACGGGCGGCAAATACTGGATCGGGTCTCTTGCAGCAAACAATGCCAGAAGATTTGGTGGTAAATACTGTGTCATCTTGTTCTGTAACTTCTTCTGTCACTTTTAAAGACTTTTCGACACCTTTCCACGGGCAATGGTTTCTCTAAATCTTATGTTTTTGTGTATTCTCTACGATTTTTGTCGTACCATAACCGAATCACATGGCTGCTTACCTCGTGACTGTGTTACTGCCACGCGGTGTTATCCTTCTACTTGGCAAGTACAGCAGGTGCGCGTTCGTAGTGTTGTGACTCGGGTAAATTATCTCTCCGCATATTCCATTGATAGTTCGGGCTTAAATTTATAAAATAAAATGGTTTGACACAATCTTGCCAATTAAACGTTACAAATAAAATCTCTAAATTTAGATAGGGGAATACCACTGTTCAAGATAATTATTGATTACGGAATTAAACGTAACAGATATTAGAGGTCACGCGGTGATTGGCTACTTTCCATCTATTGGGAACAACAGTTCTTTTTCACGAGGGCTTCTAATTTGACATTTCGGGCTATGTGAAAGGTAACGGTGCATGAAGATGTTTACTGTGGTGTGCTTGCAGTCTGCATTATTTCGTATGCTTACGCCTCCTCCACTATTGAGTGACCGATCTGTTTTTGTAAAGATTTGATAAACTATAGCCAGTATGTTGGCTCGTGGAAAATGTTAAAACGATGTAATATAAATGTTCATGAGACTGGCATAATTCTACTACTGGTATTATGAATTCGGTTACTGAGTGCGCTGAAGGCGAGAGTTGCGCTTCATCACTCTTCGATATATTTTGTTTACATATTGGCTAAGATATTTCTGGCAAATGATTTATTTTAATATTTTAAAAGCATGAAATTTCTAAGCGAGATTTGTATTAACCTGGCAAAATGACATACATGTTTGTCGATGTGACGTCAAAATAATCGATCCGATCCGGGGAACAGTGGTTATATTTCTCTCTCCGCCATATTTGCCGATATAATAATCAAAAGTGGTGAATTTTGCGGTTAGGACACTCATACAGTGGTGGTGTTGAACCCCAGTGCATGGACCCCTACATTGGACTGTATTTATTATGGAGGCGGCCATGGTAGCACTCGAGGGCAACGGCGGCCCAGCGGGCTACTCACGGCCGCTAATCAATCGTTCTACTCCCCATTCCAGATCGTTTCCAAAACTGTCGGAGGAGGACAATGTTACAGGCGATAATGGCATGGCGGCAGAAGATTATGAGTGTGGTGAACGAGTGGTGATAAATGTAAGTGGTTTACGTTTTGAAACCCAGTTAAAAACTCTGAATCAGTTTCCTCACACATTGCTGGGAAACCCAACAAAAAGGAACAGATACTATGACTCCCTTCGGAATGAATATTTCTTTGACAGGAACAGACCCAGTTTTGATGCAATTCTTTATTTTTACCAAAGTGGGGGCAGGTTACGTCGGCCTGTCAACGTACCCCTGGATGTGTTTTCTGAAGAAATTAAATTTTATGAACTAGGCGATGCGGCATTCGAAAAATTTCGTGAAGATGAAGGTTACATTAAAGAGGAAGAAGTTCCACTTCCTCATAATGAGTTCCAGAGACGTATGTGGCTTTTATTTGAATATCCAGAAAGTTCTACGGCTGCCAGAGTTATTGCGATTTTATCAGTTGTGGTGATTTTGTTGTCAATTGTGATATTTTGCCTTGAAACATTACCAGAATTCAAGCATTACAGAGTTGTAAATACGACGCATAATGGTTCCGAGTCGATAGAAGAGGATGATATTCCAAAATTCAATGAACCGTTCTTTATAATAGAGACATGTTGTATCATTTGGTTCACCTTTGAACTGATGGTTAGATTTGCATCTTCCCCAAGTAAAATGGTGTTTTTCAAAACCATTATGAATGTAATTGACATAGTAGCTATCATTCCATATTTTATTACTCTCGGCACTGTGATTGCTGACGAAAGCAAAAGTAACAGTCAGGCTATGTCGTTAGCCATTTTAAGGGTGATCAGACTTGTACGTGTGTTTCGAATATTCAAATTATCTAGGCATTCAAAAGGACTTCAAATATTAGGTCAGACTCTTCGAGCCAGTATGCGAGAGCTGGGATTACTCATATTTTTTCTCTTCATTGGAGTTATTCTGTTCTCCAGTGCTGTGTATTTCGCGGAAGCAGACGCGGAACAGTCTCATTTTAAGAGTATTCCAGATGCGTTTTGGTGGGCTGTTGTTACTATGACTACTGTGGGGTACGGTGATATGCGGCCAATCGGAGTGTGGGGAAAATTAGTCGGATCTTTATGTGCAATAGCCGGTGTATTGACTATTGCACTTCCAGTTCCTGTTATTGTCTCGAACTTTAATTATTTCTACCACCGAGAAGCGGAAAATGAGGACAATAAAAATTACCATCATGTTCAGTCATGTCCGAACTTTGAGCGGAAGAAAAGTACAACAGACTCTGAGTGTGGTTCGGATATTATGGAAATTGAGGAAGGAAACAGTTTGCATTTATGTGATAAACCAAAAGAAAATCATGCCAACAAAATTAATAATCCTGCTAGCATCAATAACTTAAGTATTGAAACGGATGTCTGATATAGGACCTTGTAAAAGTAACAACCTTTCATTTTTACTCGAATGCTAAGTGTGCATGTAGTATTTTAAAACATGTACCGGTATACATGTATGTACTGAAACCTTGCCATGACATAAAGCCTGTGTTTCTAAACTAGCCTGGACGTTAATTATATATGGATTAGGTTTTAGATCTTGCCAATTATTCAACCAAACATACCATTCATTACAAACAAAACCTACAGTAGAGATATCCAAGAAAAACATTAGTCAAGGTGGCCATGATACTATTTATAGAATCTTAAAAACCCTTAATGCAAAAATCACAAGGTGCAAAGATTGGACGTGATGTGGTGAGCATGTCAGTTGTAAATGTTTTGTTACAATCCAAAGCTAACCTCATTTTAAACTGTTTAAAAAGAACAATGCGATTGAAGGAGTGGATCTGCTTTCTACGAGTAGTGTCTTGAGTGTGGCAACGGTAACTTTCTTCGTTTTTTTGTTTTAATTTTTAAAAAGAATGCGTAGATGACTTTGTTAAATTCCTTCCTTGTGTCTGTTTACATGCATGATATTATTCAAAGAATCCATGGTAACATGTGTGTTCCTTATTTCATCTGAAGTGCTTTCAACCAACGACTGTGGTTTACAATTGTTATTAATTAATTAATTAATTACTAAGGGCTGTTAATGATTACAACTCTTCATTATATAAGTAATTTGTGATAAGAATAAAATTCAAAATATGAAAAGGAGGATTGTGTGTACCGATACCGTTACGGTTGGCTGATATTAAGTTGATATGGGTACGGTACTGTGTGTGGCACTGTCGACTGATGTTGCGGGCAAAGTGTGGGGTGTTGCTGCTTCATATTAGATGAATATACGGTGTGACTCCACGGTCTGCTAATATTAATTGGATTGTGGGTAATAACTGTTTAAACGAAGGCACTGATACCAGCTCAGTCAATACATTCTATGCATCTGTTTAATCTGAAGCGAACAAGTTTTGTGTTTAGTTCGATATGACTTGTATAATTATACGTAATACTGGAATAATTCTACTGGTTCACTTGTGTTTATGTTGGTGATTGCTCTCTACCTGATGGCTGTGGTACTGTCTTGTCAGTCCATGGCACCAGAATGCAGAAGACGAAAGTCAAGCTACATGGTACAAGCAGGGACTTCCATAATGACACAAGGTAAGGATAAATCTTATTTTATTTAAACATACACAAATATTAATCCGATTAAAATTCGAACGTTGTTTAGTTTCATTTGTATACGCCTACATTTCAGTGTGGGCATGTATTATGTTATCACTTTGTTGTCCGTTGACCCATCCATCAACAATTGGCTTCTGAACACGATAATAGGCTACAGTTTTCAAACAGATTCTTTCCAAATTTAGTGTGAACTGTGAACCATTCTTGTCATGAGAAGACAAAACCTTTCGTCCCAGAGTTATGCCCCCTCTGTGTAGACCAACCAAATTATAAAAATGAAGCAAACTAAATAGGCTATATTTGAATTCTAGATGGACTCAAATATCACCTTAGTGTAAAGCATGGGATAATTAGACAGTTAAAAGGTTTAATGTCAGAGCTATATAACGAAAAATTTTAATCTGCTCAGAACGTCTCAAATAATGGTAGAATGTGTATAATTACATGTACAGGTAGCTTTTTGGTTGGCAAAAAATGCCCTCTAAAGACCTCCAATTCATAAAAAAAAATGACAATCTTTAATCTAAACCTGCAATTTCATTGGTCAACAGACTTGACTCCTGATTATCAAGTTAGTAGAGTGCTGGAGGTCAGAGGGCGTTCATATGTATGTACCATAATTTCTCGCTATAATAGGCACTGAACTAGGTCTAACATATGTACATTTACATCAATATTGACAAGTTTGAATACGAAAGGTATCAGGTGTTCTTGAAAGAGTAAACATATCCTGCCTCATGCTGACACGCATCACATATCTTCTTTTTTTTTAAAGATACATTATGGGAGATTCGATAACGAGTTTGCAGTTCTCACTATACTAATTAAAAACTGGATAACGTAAAGGCAATTTGCTGAAAATTTCATTCAAATTGATCCACTATGAACCGAGAACTAAGCAAATGAAATTTATGCCTAGCCTCGGTCATTATTACTAAAGTCAGTACGATAAACAGCACAGTTTCGATTATCCATTTAATCGTTTAATCGAGAAGGAGAGTTATGCAGTAAATCGGCTCACAATCCACTTAAGATCGCAGGCTAGCGAATCCATCTAAAGTTGATTATGGTCTGGATAAGTTAATTAATGTCTAATTAATAATTTAGATAACATTTCAGGCCTAAAGAAAGACCTGCAATAGACAGATTTAGCTCTTGCATAATGTATGTTTAACTTATTTCAATTTTAGATGGTAATATACCCTGTGTGACACTACCCACTGTGATACAAACTAAACCGTTGTAAACCAAAATAGCCCCAACCGGCCAAACATATTTATTTACAAAAATTCAGCAATTATCACATGAAAGCACATTATTTACATTTTAATGTCACAAATATCAACATATCTTTCACTCATTAATTTATTGTATAGATTAGTCTGATAAACATTCATGTATATTAGTCTTGCATACAGGTATATTAATTAACATTGTGTTTTATGAAGCATGAGTTATTTTGTATATTGCACTGTGAGTTATAGTGGTGAGGGGGGAATACACATGTATATTTACTGGAAGGTATTGGGGAATACACATGTTCTACACAGTGGGTGGAGGAATAATATTGTTTTTTATAATAAACACTTATACACATTGTATATTTATGGTGGGTATGTTGTGTATTTACTGTTGGAATAATATTAAACAAACATTATGAAAGAGCTAAATCTGTCTATTGCAGGTCTTTCTTTAGGCCTGAAATGTTATCTAAATTATTAATTAGACATTAATTAACTTATCCAGACCATAATCAACTCTTGAATTAACACTAGCCAGCGATATTTATTGGATTATGATCTGATTTGCTGCCCTACTGTCATGCATGATTTAATCGTGAAATAGATAATCAAGACTATGTTTTTTATCGTACCGACTTTAGTAATGATGATCAAGGCTAGGCCAAAATTTCAATCTCTTAATTCTTGGTTCATAGTAGATCAATTTGACTGAAATTTTCAGCAAATTGCCTTTATATTTTATAGTTTTTAACTTTTATAATGTGAACTGCCAGTTCTTTATCTTATCTCCCATAATGCCTTTTGCAGAGGCTAACACTTCTATGTAACTAGGCTATGTATATCACCTGATTTGGTCACAAATCGTGTTTTGCAGAGGATAACACTTCTATGTAACTAGGATATATCACCTGATTTGGTCACAAATCGTGTACCATAATGTGTTTTAGCTCCATTTGTAACAGGGGACTCGAAGGCTAGACTTATTCCACAAGTCATGTCAAACGGTGACGCCATATTCTTACCTGCAGAGCATTAATACTATCGTTGTAGACTGGAATAACCAGATGCTAGAGATTGCCATTCGCTTGAGACTTTGGGTTTCGCCGAACATAACTGATTAGAAATTACAGTAAAAACAAAAACAATTGAATGTAAATCGTTTTATATACATTCATATTCCATTATTATATGTGTTGCGACCCATTTGTGTCAATTTCTAGGTCCCAAATATTAGCGATTTAGCTGTCAGTTCTTTATCTAATCTTACCTAATGTCACTTTAATAAACAATATCTGCTCTAATAATTATTCAGATCGATCAATTAATTCTAACTTACGTAGTGGCTATTTTAAGTTTACATTGGTTTCTATTGATTTTTACACTGTTATACTAATAATTTATGATAATTCAATTAATTCTACTATATTTTTCACATGCTTTTTAATACCCAGATGTGCTGAACAATAATTATATACTGTATTAAAGCAGTCATTAAGTATTTTGAATTTTGCAATATACATGTACAGTATGGCTTGTTTAAAGTAGCTAAGTCCGTAACTCAATATTATCCAAAATCTTCGACATTGAAAACACGAATTTTTCTGCAATTTAAATCAGCATTGGTGTTGTGGTCTTACCTGGAAAAGATGGGCTTCTGATATCCAATATTTAAGACAAAATAAACATTTTACCATTGGTACACGAATCGTGTACCATAATGCATTTCAGCGCCATTTGTAACAAGGTGCTCAAAGAATGCGACTAGACATATTCCACAAGTCATGTCAAACGATGATGCCATATTCTTATTTGGAGAGCATGCGCAATATATACTATCGGTGTTGACTGGAATAACCAGACGCTAGAAACTGTCTTTCGTTTGAGACTTTTGGCGTATTTCGCCGAACATAACTGATGACAAATCACAGTAAAACGGAAACAATTGAATGTAAAACAGTTTATATACATTCATATTACATTATTATATGTGTTGCGACCCATTTGTGCCAATTTCTAGGCCCAAAATATTAGCGATTTAGCTCCTTTAAGCAGGAGTAGGGGTGTCAAGGGAAAGAATCTCGCCTGTAAAATTGGTTGTCAAGAATCCGATCAAATAAACTAATCATCAACTGTATGGTTGAAAAAGTAGTACTTATAAACTGGGTCAGTCATTAAAGCTATCGCAATGTCACGATCGGTAGATGGGTGTGAACACCACAGAATATTCTCATCACGGACGTATTGCTTTCATGCTCTGGAATATTACTGGTTTGTATTTAAAGCAGGTACGGGTCAGTACTCTTCCATTTTATCTTATACAGAAACATGTAGTTTTGTAGGAATAGTACTGACCTAAATCTGAATACCGTACAGAAATTAAATGTGAAAAATAGCGAGGTGCACCTTTTTGTGGTGTATTCAGAACAGGAGATGCTGCATAACATAAAAATATCTGTGTTGAAGTTTATTAGATACATTATGGAAGATTAGATAAAGTATAAAGAGCTGGCAGTTCTCACTATAATAGTTAAAAACTAGATAATGTAAAAGGAATGTGCTGAAAATTTCAGTCAAATTGGTCCACTCTGAACTGAGATATTAGCAACTGAATTTAGACCTAGCCTCAATCATCATTATAAAAAAAAACAAAGTCTCAATTATCCATTTTTGGATTTAATCATCAATGAGTGTTGAGCAGCAGATTGGATTCAAATCCAGTAAAAATCTGACGCATAAGATTAAGGTCTTTTCATGTTAATAAATGTCCAATTAATAGTTTACTGGCACTCTTTCCTGAAGCTGACATACGACCTCTGGTGACCTAATTCTGGCCACTATTAACCCAAACTAAAAATGTCTGACAAGCAAAATTTTATTTTGTTTCAATACATTGGACAGTGAGTATGGCGCTGGCCAAATTACCAGGAGGTCCGGGGTTGGATTCTATTATTGTCAGAGAAAGTTCCTTGGGAATTTCCATCTTAGTTAGTCCATTCCATAAGCACGCCTCACACCGCTTAACATTTGTTGGCCGAACAATGTTTTCCGACAAAAGTTAGCTGGTCTGCGTTGGTTTTCAACACGAAAATTTGTTGGCCGAACAATGTCTCAGAGATCAAAAATATTGTTCGGCCAAGAAATGTTTGTGTATGTCTCATTTGACATTTGCGTTGAATTTCAACAAAGAGTGAAACATTTTATACGGACATCCAATCAGCATTTGGCTAGCGATCATGTGGTACAGAAATGGCTGACAGCGCCATTTTGTTACCACATGATGTTTGGGTCAATGTCAGTTTCTTTTAAACGAATGTTGGTCGTTTGCATATATTTAAAAAAAGTATAAAACATTTGTTTTGTCGGACGACGGACGTCAACAAATGTTAGTCAACCTACACCGGGCGTTGTAGGTCTGAATTTCAAGAGACATTTTCCTATGTTCTCATAGTGGTTAAATGCAGAACAATTTGGGTGTAATTATAATAACATTGTATTTGTACCATTATAATGGAGTCGTTGAACTGACAATGTACAGTATATGTATGTATATGTCCTAGTTAGATTTTTTTAGAGTGTTCTAGTATAATATTGTGTATATCACATGTATAATACATGTTTAATAGTTTCACATGTTCTGTACATGTTCAACAGTATTTTTATCAATTTATAAAACTTAATAATAAAACTATTGATCAGTAACGTACACCTACATACCATTGTATTCACTGTTTTCAT